CAGTTGCTGCAATATTTGCCTATGGCTTTCAGAATGCTACAAGCTATTTCATCCTTAGTGTAGGCAGATTCTTGGGACTGGGAGAACAAGCCGCTTCAATTTATGACTACCACTACAAAAAGAGCGTATTTGGAGAGAATTAGAACTTTCAGAATATTTATTTACTAAGGATAAATATTTAAGGAAACAGAATGGTACGTAGTAGATTATCAGTCAAAAATTATCTTGATCATAAAAAGTCCTCTATCTAAACTAAATCAAATGTTACACTTGAATCTAACTCAAGGGTCTATCTAATGTATCATGTCTAGCTAGTGGACCACCACGTAAAATTTTGGTCATAATCTAAGTTCTGCACCCATAATAAACATATTCTTCACAAAGTGGTTTCGTTATTTCAATTAAGGGAGAATTACAATAGAGTCTCATGTAAGAGAAATAACTATCAAAATGTCCTAATAATATGTGAAAAATTGTTATTTCTTATTCTGAAACTTGTTATTATAAACTGCTCAGTTATTATTGGGACTTTATAATAATTATGTTGCTTGTTTAGGACTCTATTACAATTCTCCCTTCAATTAAATAACTTTGTTTTAGCGCTATCTGTCATAAAATGCTATGACAATGTCTGAATGAAAAATGAAGATGACAAATAATGGGCTCGAAGCAATAATTTCTACAAAAATAAAGTAGTTATATTTTTTAACTAAGCATACCCGAAGGCCAAGGCACTTCAGATGGTATGTTCTCGGGCAACTTCCAGGGGCATTATTCACAATAAATGGCATTCATGGCAAATCTGCAAAAATCACTATGTTGTTGAATGATCAATTATTACTACTTTCAAAAACTTGTAGGAGTCAAAAAGCAACCAACTTTTACGCCAGTTAACTAGAACAATTGTATCACGCTCGCAAGAATTTTCTCATAGCAACGAACTTTCTCATAGCTTTTATGTTCAAGTAATGGATAAAGTAGGCAAAAATGCTTTCTACTACCTCCGCTCCTTAATACTCCCTCCCTTCCTTATTATAAGAGACAAATAACCAAATTATGTTGATAAAAAAAACAGTTAAAATTAATTGAGGACAATTAATATGTAAAATGTAAAATGTTTTTTCCAACAATGCCCTCATTAATAAGGAGAAAGAGCATGAGAGAGAACAATTAAATTATTAAAAGAAAGAGAAGTGGGAGGGAGAGAGTATGAGTTGGAGACAAAATAAATAGGGATAAAATAGGAAATCAATACAAAAAATAGATACAATTTTTAAGTGTCTCTTATATATGGGAACATGCCATAAACATCAAATGTCTCTTATAATAAAGAACGGAGGGAGTATAAAATTTAGTTGACTAATTTGGAAATATTAAGGAATTTACTGAATCACTTAATTATGGTATATGTTATATAATCTCTCTAAAATACTTATATGGATTATTAGATTATATATCAATTTATAAGTGAAGTAAATTAATTTGAAAAAAAATAATACATATAAATAGTTTAAAGTAATTTAGTAACTTCCTTAACTTTTTCAAATTAATCATCAACTGGGTCTTATATTAAGAATCAGAGGTAGTAATACATATATGTATATATATGTATGTATGACCCATCTTTATCATTGAAGTAGTAAAGAAACAATTCAAAAGTAATTTTCTTAAACAGTATAATTTCCTTCGTTGATGATAATCTGAGGTATTTGTTATTTTATATCTTGCCACTGAACTAATGATTTGGGACTCTAGTCCCTCCAATTGCAGTAAACTTTGGCTAATGAATTCAGGCTTCATCCGTCTTTTTCAACCAAAAAAGAATTGATAAGACAAAAGATATCATATCAAACAATTATTCGGAGACATAAATATAAATCTCATTCACATAAAACAGAACTAGACACCAAAGACAAATGAATCAAAGTCCTACAAAATGTCTAAAGGATCTACAGTGCTATCCTTGTAGTTTTGGTGCCCTAGCCTTCCTTCTATAGGATGTTTTATAACAATAAGTTAAGGTGCAAATTTCTCTGAAAGTTTTCGCTTAGAAGTAATGTTGCCCCAAAAGTTATTTTGGGTTCAATGTCACCTAGAAGTTTCAAAATCTAGTAATGCTGTCTCATCTCATAGTAATGGGTAATATTTTTAATGATAATGGGCAATATTGCTTCATTTTAACACTTTCAGGGTAATCTTAAACCTATAAAACTTTTAGGGCAACAAAAACTTACCGGACAATGTTGCACCTTAACACTATAATAAATTTAGTGTGCTTCTACTCGGAGTTTGTTCTCCCATCCCCTATAATTGTCATTATATCTTGTGATATTATTAGCTTATCTTATGGGGTGTTAGGTAAAACTAAACCATGGTTTAATAGTTTCTAAAAAAAGTTATTTTAAGAATAGATTTTCGAAGAATAAATTTTATAAAATTAAACAAGTAATTTTAATAAAGTGAGAGTATTTGGATAGTTAATATCAGAATCACTTTTCATATACAAATTACTAAAAAAACATAAGTTACTATAATAATTATATAAAAGATATATTTTTTTTGAGATAATAAATTTGTAAATAATATATTTTTTGCCAGCATAATAAATAACATATGAAAAATATAATTAATTAACTAATACTTATATATTGATAAATATAATACATCATATTATTAATATAAGAGTTAGATAACTAATTTATAAATATATGCAACCATCATAGGACTACTTAGGGGCAAAATGGATAAATATAAAAAACAAAACAGAAGGTAGTATGTAAGAACAACTTATTATTTATATGATTGATAATTAATATGTGCATACATATTTATAAAATACAAGATTAAATATATTTTTATATCTTAAACCATAGTTTTATACATCAAAAAGCAGAAAAATTTCACTTTCAAAAAACTATGGTTTCCAATTTAAAAGTGATTTTGTTAAAAAAAAAAAAAGATGTTTGAATGATTTTTCTCGACACCATGGTTTTCTCTCCAAAACCATGATTCGAAGAAGTACCTGAACACCCCCAAATAGTTAATTTTATACTGTTTCTTCTCTTATAACCAAAAGAAAAAAAGAAACTCTGTAAAGGTATAAAATTCTAAACCTACAAATCAGTTTTAAAGTTTAATAATATGGGTGAAAAAAGTTTTGCTCTGAGTGCTCTCTCTTGGAACTCGTGCTATGTTTCTGAGCTTTGAGATAGATGACCCCGGCGTTCGGAAAACGCCTCCGGATAGGACCTCAGATGAAAAGGATCAAACAGATCGGGCCAAAAAATCAAAGAAGGAAGTGAAAGAAGATGCTCTTATGTTGGACAGAATGATTGATGCAAGGGAAGCCACTGAAGAAACTAACGGGACTAAGACACCGCACGCCCCTCCCTTATCTTATAAAGACTCTTTACTGGGCTTCAAAGGGGAAGATTTTAATGGGGTGGCACATGGGAACTCATACATGGAGGAAGACCCCTTGCTGTCAGACCTTATTGATCAAGAATGGACCATCCTTGAACAGTCAGAGGAACTCAAAAATCTGATGAAAATATACCCTGCGGTCCCGATCACTCCAGAGTAATACAACAAATGGTGCAGACCATGGAATATATCGCTTATAATAACTGTTCTGGGGGCAAAGTTTAATGTCTACAGGGTGAAGGAAAGCCTGACCAGAGCATGGAAATTCAATAACTTTGAACTGATCGATTTACCAAACAACTATTATGTTGTGCGTTTCAAAAACCCAGAAACGTGGGGAGACCAATATGAAAGAGTCCTCTTTGAAGGTCCCTGGATTGTGGGGCAACATTCGGTGCTAGTGCAAAGGTGGTCACCTTATTTTGACCCCTTTAACAATCCATTGGGAAGGGTGGCAACATGGGTCAGAATCCCACACATCCCGTTGTTATGCTATACAAAAAACTTCATTTGGAGACTGGGTGACATGATCGGAAAGACCCTGAAGGTTGACATGAATACCATAGCTAACCTGGAAGATAAAGAAGCAAGGGTAGAAAGAGGAAGGTATGCGAGAATATGCATTGAAATCGACTTACAGAAGAAGTTGATCCCCAGAATTATATCGGCATCAGCGCTGTTCAATGTTGAATATGAAGGACTTGGTCTCATATGTTTTCAATGTGGAAGATATGGGCATAGAAAAGAGGCGTGCCCATGGAAGAAATCAGCCGAAAAAGTAGAGAGTCAACAAGGAGGAAGCCCCTCATCACCCTCACTAAAGACGTCGCCGGCGAAATCTCTACCGGCTGAGGAAGATCAGTTTGGGCCATGGATGATGGTACAATGTACGGGCAGGACACGTGGACCCAGGTTTGAAAATAGAAAAGACAGACATGAGGGAAGAAGAGACTATGTCAGAACTAACAGAAAGAATGGCGGTAAAGAAGGACAGACACGCTTTAAGGTATTCACTGATATGGGAAAGGAGTCAGATGATGGTTTTGATGAGGAGGAAGATAGGAAAAGGGAGGCGCTGGCACATAGGTCGGCTGACAGGGAGAGGGCTGTAGTGCCTATGGAAGGAAGAGTTGGGGTGCCGAGAAATAAAGCGGAAACTTCAAAAAATTCAAATAAAGGCAAGACAAAGGAGTTTGTGGTGGGAAAAAAAGTAATGATATACCAAGGGAAGGAAAATACAAAGCCCAACGAAGAAGAAAACCCAAGACAAGCCCAAAGTAATGTGGACGGGAAACCAAAGACTGAAGGACAGCTAGGTCAACAAAAGAACCCAATAGGCAAGAAGACTATGGGCCGTAGAGCCCATAATGTGGTGGCAGGAAATCTGGACCTGAAGGAGTCCGAATACTTGAAGCAGGAAAGCCTGTTGAACACTGGAAATGGTGCTATGCAAGGAATAGAAAGGGAAGAAGAGACGCAAGCAACAAATACTATCGTGATTTACGAAACAGAAAAAACAAGAGATTAGGAGATGGGAAAGCACTGGGAAAATCCTCCACAACCACCCTCAGTAACTGATGGGAGAACAAGGAGCTATAGGGACTCTTTATGCAGAGTCGAAGTTGGGACGAAGCAAGAAGATAAACCCCCAGACCTGTAAGGGCCCTATTCCTCTCCTTTTCCTCTGTCTTTTTCAAATGATTGTTGCATCATGGAATTGCCAGGGAGCAGGTTCGAAAACATTCCCGCGGCTAATAAATGAAGTGGTAAAAAAGTACAGAATTAATATTATGGGAATTATGGAACCTCGCATTAGTGGAGCTAGAGCAGATAAAGTAGTAAAGAAGATGGGTTTCAGTAATTGGATAAGAGTGGAGTCTACGGGCTATGCAGGAGGAATTTGGGTACTTTGGAACGATTGGGAAGTTTCAATTGAGTATGTATGCTCGACCACCCAGTTACTTCATTGCAAAATAACTAGCAAAACTTCAGCAGAAACTATGCTAGCTACGTTCGTCTATGGAGACACAAACCCTCTGAGGAGAAGGGAGCTGTGGAATTCCTTAAGGAATATAGCGAGTTCAATTGATTCTGATTGGATGGTTCTAGGGGATTTCAACACTTTCCTCACCGTGGAGGACAAGGTAGGGGGAACACGACCAGACAATAGCATGATGATATCTTTTAGATCCTGTATAGATGATTGTAATCTCCTAGAAATACCAGTGGTGGGCGATAGATTCACCTGGGAAAGAAATGATGTAAAGGAAAGACTTGACTGGGCCTTTAGAAACTTTAACTGGGAAATAAACCACCCTCACATGAAGGCTCATCACAAACTACGTTTTAAGTCGAACCACAGAATGATAGTAGTGTCTGACGGTGGTGAAAATAGAATCAACAGAAGCAATAGAGTTTTCAAATATCAAGCTGCTTGGTGTCTAGAACAAGACTTCGTGGATATTGTTGCAGCTTCGTGGGAAAACAAAAACTGGCTCCAAGGATGTGAGTCTTTCAAAAAATCAGCCATGGAGTGGAACGAAAAAGTAGTAGGAAGTGTGGCAGCCAAAAAGAAGAAGTTGTTAATAAGACTGGAAGGCATTGACAAGGCAAGACAGAGTAACAGATCAAATGGACTCCAAAGACTAGAAAAAAGAATATGGGAAGACTACAGCAAATTAGCAGCTCAAGAAGAATTAATATGGTTCCAAAAGTCTCGAAGCAAGTGGCTAAAGTGGGGAGACAAAAATACGAGCTTCTTTCACGCCACAACAGTAATGAGGAAGAAGAGAAACTCCATAGAAGCCTTGCAGGATTCGAATGGGAGCTAGACCTATGATCAAGAAACCATGAAAGGAATGGCTTTTAACTTCTATAAAACTCTCTACACAGCAGAAAACAATATAAGACCTGTCTCTACCTGGCCGATGTCCTTCCCACCCCTCCAGACTCAACAGTTAAATATCCTATAGAGGGAAATCTCGACTATAGAAATAAAGAATGCAGCTTTTGAAATGGGGGCTTTTAAAGCCCCAGGACCAGATGGCCTACAACCCCACTTCTTCCAAACACAGTGGAATAAAGTAGGTACAAAGATCTGTGAGCTACTCAACACAGCCTGGTCTAACCCTGACTCTCTTAGGGACCTGAATCAGACGCATATAATCTTAGTCCCGAAAGTAGAACAACCTACCTCCCTGAAAGACTTCAGACCGATTTCTTTGTGTAATGTCAGCTTTAAGATTTTAAGCAAAGTTCTTGCAAACAGATTCAAAGGAGTTATGCCTTACCTGATCAAAGAGAACCAATGTAGCTTCATACGTGGACGTCAGAGCTGTGATAACATCATACTTGCGTAAGAGGCGATCCACACAATGAGAACTAAGAGGGGTGGAACAGGATTTATTGCTATAAAAGTAGATATGGAAAAAGCTTATGACAGGCTAGATTGGAACTTCCTAGAATTCACAATGAAAAGCCTTGGCCTATCAGATAATTTTGTCGACATCATAATGAAATGCATTTCCACAGCCTCGATGAGAGTCTTATGGAATGGGGTGGCAATAGAGAGCTTTCAACCATCTAGAGGAGTGAGACAGGGAGATCCCCTAAGCCCCTACCTATTTGTCCTGTGCATGGAAAGGCTGGGGCAACTGATTCAGCATGAGATTGAAAGGGGAAGATGGAAGCCGATGAAACTGAGTACAAGAGGACCAATCATCTCACATCTTTTCTTTGCTGATGATTTGATTTTGTTCGGAGAAGCGTCAACAGATCAGATGTTGGAAATGAAGAACATCATGCATTTCTTCTGTCAGGTTTCGGGCCATAAAATAAATTTGAACAAGTCAAAGGCTTTTGTCTCCCGAAATGTAAACTTTAACAGAGCTTACGAACTGAGCCAAATGGTTGGGATTGGCCTTACCCAAGACCTCAGAAAGTATTTGGGTGTACCGATCCTACACAAAAGAGTAACCAAGACGATATTTGCTCCCTTAATTCAGAAGGTGAGATCAAGACTGGAAAACTAGAAAGGAAGATTCCTGAGCCTAGTAGGGAGATCAGTACTCATCAATTCGGTTATCTCAACACTCCCCTCATACCAAATGCAAACAACACTACTCCCAAAAGGCATCTAGTTGAATTGGAAAAAATCAGTAGAACCTTTTTCTGGAATAACGAAAATGGAGGTAGGAAACTTCATCTTCTAGCTTGGGATGTGATTAAAAAGAGTAAAGAAGAAGGTGGTCTTGGAATCAAAGATCTACATAGTCAAAACGTGGCTTTCATCATGAAACTATGCTGGGGAATTCTTACAAAACCCCAAGCAATGTGGGTCAAATGCTTGAAGGCGAAATATGATTGTGGGGAGAATAGGATGCCGGAAGTCAATCAAAAAAGAAACCAATCTGAAGTTTGGAGGGCGATAACACTGGTTTGGAAAGAGTTCCTGAAAGGTGTGGGATTCCAACTACAGAGTGGAGAAACAGCAAAAGCTTGGAGTGATTTGTGGAGTCCTCTGGAGCTTCCTTTAAAGTTCTATGCAAATAAGAACTTCCACCAAATAAATCCAGATGAACCAGTGAGGAACTTTGTGACAGATAATGGCCAATGGAATCTGATTAGATGGGGAGAATGTCTCCCTAGTTGGGTGCTAGAGAAAATCAAAATGACTAGACCACCAACAGGGAGGGGTGAGGATAAGATATGCTTGAGAAATGCCACAGATGGAAATTTCAGTGTTAGGACTGCATATAGGATGATCTATGAAAAGTAGGATAGAAACATAAATCCTATTTAGAAGCAAAATTGGCGCTGGGGAATTCCTGAAAGAGCAAAATTTTTCATGTGGCAAGTTTTCCATGAGAGAATTCCTACGAATGGAACCAGAGCAAAACACCTAAATAACGAAACTGAGGAGTGCCCATTTGAGTGTGGTTGCAAAGAATCTATATTACATACACTGAGAGACTGTGAGGCAGCAAAGAGTGTGGTTGCATATAATTAACCCATTGTATTATGCTGTTTTCTTCTTCTGTGATTTGCAGGTATGGCTCAAATGGAACACCGAAAACAACCCAACAAATGGAAGATTTTCTAGATGGCCGTGGAGTCGAATCTTTGAACAAGTCTGTTGGGCTATCTGGAAGAACAGATGTAAGAAAGCATTCGGGGAGAAGACTACTCGACCAAAGGACCAAATGTTCAAGATCCTGAACCACCTTATGGAGGAGGTACAGCAAGAAAAATTTCGCCACCAGATATACCAGCTTCCAGAGAGGAGCACCACACAACGTAATCCCCCACCTCCTGATTATGTCAGAATTGATGTGGACGGGTCAAAATCAAGAGAAGGTGCGGCAACTTGTGGAGGTTTTATTAGTGACTATCGAGGTCATTGGAAGGGTGGATTTCAACGGAAGTTGGGTACCATGCCCTCAACAGCTGCGGAGATACACGCTATGCTGACTAGACTGCAACTTTGCAAGCAGTTGGGGTATAGTAAAATAAAGCTATACACGGATTCGGCTGAGGCTCTTCACCTACTTCTGACCGATTGTGAGCCCTCACATCCTTTGAGGGAGATGGTACAAGACTTGAGAAATTTGATATTTGATAATTGGGACATTGAAATCCTGCACTCATTCAGGGAAAATCTAGGATGTGCCAATAAGCTTGCTACGATGGCTCATCATATTGAGCATGAGTATATATTTCTACAAGATATCCCGAATTATTGTAGGGAGTATTTTGATGCTAGTCAGGGACAAATGGGTCAGTAACCCGAGGTGCTTTTTGTAACTTTCAAGCTTCTTGCTTGCCTTTCTATATTAAACAAAAAAAGTTTAATAATATGGAGCCCAAAGAAACGTTCTAAACTTTAATAATATTGCAAAGCTGCTTGAGAGAAAAATAAAAATAGAATAATTTGACATACTAAAAAGAATAGTGCGAGCAGACTTACTATACCCTGGCTTTTGTTGCCTCATTAATTGCTCTTGAAACCACCTGCCAAAACGTGTGTAGCTTTTAGTTCTTTGTCTAATGAGCTTTTGACAGTTGAAATATAAATGCATATCAACTCAAACTAATTGGTTGAACAGAAAATATAATTGAAGAATATGAAGAGACTAATTATACTTACGATAGATTATTTAATTCATACCTATCTATACTTTTCCTTTTTTTAAGGTAAAATCATGTTATTTCCAAGTCACACTGGACTTGAGATTAATCCATTTTAGGCCAAGAGTGGTTAAGGAATAGTGGTTCCAAAAGTATACTTTTCAGAATTTAAACTTATATTTTTCTCCTTACAGGAGTAAACTACTACCATCTTAACTAACACCTTGTTGTCTCATAATTTCCTTTATTCATGGTTTACTAATGTTGTCCCACAACAAAGGCTTAATTTCCAACGAGTTGCTTGCCACACAAACGAATGTATATTTGTGTTGGGGACATTACATATTTGCAAGAGAAAATAAATAAGCCATTTTTTCTATATGGGATTAATTTTAAACCCTTAAGACAATTGCATAATTGGATTTCTATTGGGAATTCAAACCTAACTTGTAGGTGAATTTATACTCACGGCGGATCCAGGAGGGGCAAATTGGGTTTGTTTGTCCCTCATGATTCTCACGTTCCTTGGTAAGGAATGTTAAAAACAAAATTTAGCCCTCCAATTTTATTTATTCCCCTAATTTCATTTATTTGTAATTTCAGCTCCATTCATTCATCTTTGAACCTACGAATTGGCTCAGAGGACAAGAAAATTAATCCACCATCATCATCAATAACTTATTTCTTTCAATATATTAGGGGTTGGGGGGGAGGAGCCTCTTTATATCGAATGGAATGTGCAATCTTTGCCAAATCAAGCTGGAAAAATTTATCATACTCTAATCCTAAATCTTAAATCCAAAACCCTAATGTCTTGCCCGTGAAATCATTAACTATTAATATCAATGATAAAACTCAACAAATGTTTATTTCACTCTTTTCAGAAAAAATTCATTAATTTACAATATAATTTCTTAGCACACAACAGAACCAACGATAGATAATCGCATATACAAGATCTAGAAGATTATATAATAATAGTCAATTTCATATATACCTTATTAATTTGGTATTCCATTGATCTGATGATTATAAAAAGCATACACCTATTTCCCTGATCGTCACCATTGTCATCTTCTTCTTGATTTGAAACTTCCATGGATAACATGTATAAATTGTTTTTCCCAGAAACCATAAGAAAAACTTATGCTTTGGATAGTTGACGGCTACTTTTGTAGCTTTTGAAGCCAAAGTGATGTGCCTATATATATAGGGTGAGGAGACAAGGGTTTTTCTTTCAGCCTATGGGGATATCACCTAACTTGGGTTTGAAAGCGGTGATTCATGATGTGTGAGGTTGCGCACGTGTTTTGCACATGTAGATTTAATACAATTAAGAGAGTTTTAAGTCCAATTTAATCTAAAAAGTTTAAATATATTAAATCTAATGTCCTGTAGCTAATCATATTAAATCATCAAATTCTACTACCAAAAATGGGTGTTCGAGGCACTACTACAAATAATCAAATTTGCAGAAAATTTTTTCATCATCATCAAATCCATCATGAAATTTTGCAGAAGATTTTTGGTCGCAATGCAAGGTAATCTAGCTTGCGAGCTCCTGTTCCATAAGCATGTGGCCTTTTTTTCCCCCGTAACATAAGCATATAACCATTTTTGAGTGCAAACCAAATATGCAATTGAAATTATTGCTTTTTATGGAATTTTTACTAATTGGCCCATGGCTCCAAAAAATATGTTTGCGTATGAAAGAATATATTCGAAAGAAAATAATTAAAAATCTATACTTTTTCTTTACCCCTCAATTTTATAAATTTATTTTTCAAATTCCTAATGTTCTTGACAAAAAATGCCAGCATTAGAATTGAAATGTAGATAAACATCCTCAATCATCAACATATTAAGTTTAATTTTCAAAATAACAATAATTATTACAAAAAATTACCATTTAATACTAATGGTGGTAGGGTTAAAGAACATAACTAAGAAGTTATTTTTAAAAGGCTAAAGTATTGTTGAGTCACTTAAGTTTACATAAAATTTCATTTTAATCCTTGAAGTTTAATAAATATATTCTTAGTCCTTTAAATTTAACCCCGTTAGTTGGGATAGAAATAGGTGTAGGGACCTATGGCCTAATCTATAAATGGCCTAACCTAGCCTAATCTATTTAAATATCAAAACATACTCAGGCCTGTAAAAAGGCCTGTTTACTTTATTAGGCCAGGCTCAGGCCTGGTAATAAGCCTATTAGGCCTGTCAAGCAGACTGGGCCTATTATCTTTTTTTTTAGGCTAAAATTGTAAATAGGCTTGGTTTGCTTATGAGTAGTTATTAGTTTGGACCAGTAAGATTTTGGTCCAAGCCGGCCAACGCCCCTTTGCCTCTTATATTTTTGGTGCATGTGCCCTTATGTTTTAATTGATACATACAGAATAGTCTGTCCCATTCTTTTACGAGCTCTTTTTTTTTTTTATTGTTCTTTTGGCCATTTGGCTATCAATGTATATATTATGCAAAGACATTAAACCTCCTCCCATGGTACTCTCGGTGTATCATGGTTCCCTACCCATATATTTATTTTAATAATTTGTTATGGAAAAATATGAATAAAAATTAGGGGGGAAATACCCGTGTAGATTCTGTAGAAAAAGGAGCACTCATATTGAAAGACTTAATGCTTTGCGGTTTGATGGTTTGTTGTAATTGTAGCAACTAGCAAAAACAAATTGTGTTAATTTGATAATTTCATATTTTCTATTTGTATTTTAGATAAATTGGGTTGAATTATTGTAATTTTAAATTCATTTATGTGTGTTTGAAATTTGTTAAAAAAATAGGTCTCTTAACATGTCACAGGCCAAGATAGGTCTAATTACAGGCCAAGCTTAAACCAAACAAAAGGCCTTTCACATGCTGCAGGTCAGGCTTAAGCTAATAGGCCTCACCACAGGCCAAGCCTATTAAGGGTGAGGCCTGACCTATTTCCACCATTACCCGTTAGTCTCACTAAGCAAAAATACTCGGCAATTTCTAAATAATGACTCGACATTTGCATACTAACATTAATTTTTAATATAAAATATGTAAATTAAAAAAATTTGAAATAAAACATAAAAAAAGATGTCAACAAACGTGATTATTTCTATGATAATTTAAAAATACTTTTAATTTTAACTTTTTAAATTTTTCATGACCAGGTTTTTAAATTATGGTTTTGGATCTACTATAAAAAAAAATAAAAATAAAGCTAGTCCTTAAAATAATTATAATTTTAAAAATGTTTTAATATAAATTTTTTAGATTAATTAGATAATTTTTTCAATGATAAAAGTAAGGTGTTATTTTAAATATTTTTTAATTTACATATTTAAATTAAAACTTAATATATCAGTATTTAAATATTGAGTCATATTTTTAAATTGCAAAGTTAGCATTTTTTGTTAGTGAGATTAAGGAACTAAAAACATACTTTTTAAATTTAGAATGCAAAACTAAAACTTGATGCACCATATACTTCAGTCCTTTTAAAATTAAAGGGCGTAACTAAAATCTTTTATAAAGTTGGAGAACTAAGTACATAATTTTGCTTATAAAAAACTAATACACATATGCAATTAAAAACCTTAGTGCAAAAAAAAAAAAAAAAAAGCCTTTGATGTGTTGACCTTCAAGTGTATCATTTGGGGGCTTCAAGTAGTAAATTCTAAGATGTACGAGTGTTTCCTTATTTCAAACTTCCCATAAACACGTCAATGACCTTATGATCTGCCATAAAACCAACTTTATTGATGAAAAGTTCTGTAAGTTTGTTCTTCCTAGCTATTTCAAGCATTTAACTTGCCCCCAATGGTCCAAAAAATAAAGTACTTGCCACGGAGATGAAATTTTTTAGGACCAAATTTAATTTGATATACATCAATACAAAATTATTAACTTAACTGTCATATTCCTAAATATATGGATAAAATAAATTAATTAGTTATGTGTGCATTTACATATAGCTAATGCTTAGTTTTATGCATACGCATAGCATGAGAATCTGGAGCATAGTTAAATAGTTGCGTAAGGCATATGCTGCTTGGTTTTTAATGAATAAAACCGCTGGAGATGTCAGTTAAATTAAGTTTTTTTTTTTGGGGGGGGGGGGGGAGAGGGGGTTGAGCAAACCTAAAGCCATGATTAACACATCTTTCATCCCATTTCTTGGTATCCCTCTCGTTCATCTCCATTGATGCCAAGAAAGAAGAAAGGAAACTAAGCCATGGCCCATGGGTCATCCTCTTGGTTGCGAAAAGGTCAAAATATGCTTTTCTATCTTTTTGAGTTTATGCTTTATTCTGGTACAAAGAGTCAGCAAATTAAATTATTATATGGATATTTGTGTTGTTTCTACAAGAACTAGCTGAAAACTATTGTTTTCAAGCCGTAGAAAAAGTATTACGTTTCAAGATGATGTACCCCTTTTTGTATAAACATGAATCAAATTGGCATTACTTAGCAGCATCAAGCTTTGAGGAGGGTGACGTGGTATTCCCTTTCTCTTCAACCTCTTTCACTCTCTGAAGAGCATCATTAATGGTTTTGGATACTTTATCAGAATGTTGCTCAACATCTCTCAAAATTATCTCAAGCTGTTGTTGGAGAACTGCTCTTCGCTTTCTCTCGCGCTGTAACTCGGCAGCCAATTCCCGGATTTTTACATCTTTCTCATCCTGAGAATACCAAATGGTTGCAAAAAGACATGCATTATAAACATAACATAACAATAGTACAACATAGAGAAAACTATGAGAAGCATGAAGAAGTTGATTGAACAAAATTCTCTAGTCTTAAATATTGGGATATCCCAAATATGTCACGCATCTTAGGGAAAATTGGTTATATACTTAATCAGCTCAAAAAATGCTAGTTATTTCCTCGTATGACGTTATTCATTAAAAGTAATTATCAGCAGATTTCCAGCTTCCAAGAGCACTAATGCATAATTATAAGAACAAGGAAAGGGGTAATATAGGGAGAGAGTTTGTTGACATTCCGCGTTACCCTATATTTTGGACCAAAAATACTTCTAGAAGTTTCCCTATAAATCAGACCAGAGGGAGTATATATTATTAACATCTTAACAAACAGATCCGTTCATTCAAAAAGCAAATAAAAGAAGCATGTTCTGTGCTTTTTCTTTTGTGCCGTGCCCCCAGGGGGGGCTTGGGGACACTTTCTAAGCACTTGGTTGTTGATAGAACATAATGGCGTCATGTGATTCATGTAGCCGACCCCATCTAATAGGATAAGGCTTATTGTTGTTGTTGGGCACTTAGTCAACTTGACCAAACAAAAGAACTGGCCAAGAACAGCACGTCTAAATGCATTCCAAAGTTAGTCCTAATAATAATAAACTTCCATCAGGAATTATAAAAACTTTTAGAAATAAAATGACATTTTTAGTAAGTCCGACAGATCCCAAGAGATGTACCCGAACATGCATACTAAGTTGTCAGAATCTATGCGAGAACCTTCACACCCTAATGCAAGCAACACAGCCATTTATCTTCTTTTTCATAGAATATTATGAACCAACAAGGACTGTCTCTCACCCATACTAGAGCTTGCGGATTGAAAACTAAACTTCTACATGACATGTCCTTCCTTACTTGATAAGTTTCTTACCCTCACTGCCACCCAATCCAGTCCAACATGAACCGGGTGCCAAGGTCGATCATTATTAGTTTATAGTTTCCGTGGCCCAACAATCAAACAGTGTTGATATGCAGATGAAGCATCATGCATAGGCACCATACATTTATCCTTCTCCAGATAGGGAGTCAGCAGATTATTTAAGGATTTGCTAAACAGGGCTAAGATTAGCATTTGTAAAGGGTGCATAATTGATTTACTAGTAGAAGATAGGGGCAACAATGCTTTTCCAATTCTCCTGGAGAAATTCATAAGTCACTGCCTGACTACAAAATGGAAATTTTACATCAATCAGAACATACGAGAAAAAACAAGGATATTTGCATGTGATTAATGAGAGAGATGTTCTCACTGAAAAACTGATGAATCTCACTTCGTGGCCAGAAGTGCTCTCAATTTAAGTAGCCATTCGAGGCCAAACAGACTAAGCTCAACCTTTCATTTTAAACTACATGTAGTTAAAAGGCTCAGGAAGAAGGATAAGGTGATTGGCAAAACCATCACTTAGAAACGCAGAGTCTATCCAAACATTAATGCAGGCCCATCAAGTAAAAGACTCCCAAGTTATGGAAAGTACAAAACACTTGGGCAAGACAAATCTGAGCACATTCTACATGCTGAGATTCAGGATACTCTATACACAGCAGATTTGAATATTGGCAGAACAATCTAAAGGATGAAGATAATAAATCCAAAGTGCATATTTTCTCACTCTGTTAAGTGTTGACTAAGTACATATCCATAATCATATAATAGGAATAATCACTGAGCTCAGTAAAGAGTAAATGACCAAACATTTCATTCACAAAGCAGCACTGACCAGTTCAAGATTTAAGGGTTCAGATAGTTTGGAACTGCCATTAGCAAACCAATGCCAAAAATAAGAAAATCAGGAAATTTTATGAGTTAATTCTAATCCATGCTGCACTCATGCTGATCTAGGGGCGTGTGACGCTTGGGGTGGATTGAATGTCATCATTCATCAAAATGCAGCACATATTATATACATTGTGAAAAATTGGTTCTCTAATCTAAAAAGTTGCATTCAATTATCAGTCATGAACATTTATTTTTTTCCCTCATTCCAAGAGTAAAAAAGTAAAGAAAATAGGACAAATGAAATATCCTATTATTAAACGGTGCACATTAATTTAGAATATTTTCAAGTTAGTGTGCTTGAACCTCATTCTCTTTCCGTTGGGATGCTTTCAAATGCACTGTTTCTGGAAAATGAAGCGGATGATTATGCTCGTCAACAAAGTCAACAATTCTATATTTTCCATTTATGCGTGACACAGTCATTCTTGCTTTACATCCTGTTCTTGTCTCTGGTCGAGGATGGATTGTTTTATAATCTCTTTTATCTGGTCTTCGTACACCTTCCTTGCAACACACATATTTATATGAAGTAATGGTGCCATCCTTCCTACTCTTGCTGAAATACTGCTTTCTAACACCAAATCCAGTTTTGCCACCATAACTCGACCAATATTGCCATGCTTCTTCCAAAGTTTCAAATTCAAGTCCCAATCTTGGGATTAAATTTGTATCCATCTAATGAAACCTACACAAGATGATTACAAGTGCATTATTTTATTTGACATTCAAACATTCATTTTTACCATTTTTTGCGTTAAAATTTGGATATTGCTTAAAATGTTGCAGTAATTGAACGGAATTTTTATTCCCCTTCAAAAAGATATGCATACATTCAATGATTTATAAGCTCATTCAATATTTCAAAATTTTACATTCACCTTGAGAAAGGGAAAAAAACTAATTCAACAATTTATAAAGTCATTAGGCACTACCATTATCCAACATAACAAAGCAATACAGAAGACAATCACAATAAAACATCATTCAGCATTATCCAGCACAAGGAAAAAAATTATCCAATGACACCAATCACCAAGAAAACGTTTACAATAATCACACACAAACAGCAATCACCAATGATCAATATGACTAAAAATGTGCCTTATATCAGTCACCAATCTAAAGTTTTTTTCCCCCCTGTCGCACCCATCAAGCACTATTCAACATAAAAAATAACTTTGCCTAACAGCAGCAAAACTCTCAGAGTATTCATCTAATCTAACATAACACCAAAAAAATACTTTCTTTGATTGATTCTGCACTATAAAAAAAAAAGGTAAATTTCAAAACTCCAAAAGACCAGAAACCAATCCAAACAATAGCTGAGGAGGGGGAAAATTACATTAGCAAACCATTGATGCTTTCTCACTTGCTCTGTTCTTCCTCTAAATTTTGTCACTCTTTAAACCCTAACATCGAGCCAAATAGCCTCGTTCGTCCACATTTCGTTTTCTTCAGTACTTAGTCGACGATTTTTTATTCTTTCTCTGCCGTAGCATTCGAACCCAGAAAACCTTCCTCCGTCGAGCTTTCACGCCGAGAAAGCCTTCACAGACCACCACAATCCTTTCCAGCGCCGGAGGAAGAAAGGAGCAACTGACTGGGTTTTTACCTTTGTTTGTGAACCAACGGTCATGATTTTCTAGAACATTGAAGGGCGAGGATCTCTCAGGAAAAACGACGTCGTTATATTTATATTTATCCACCGTTAGATCTAACTAACGGTCAACGTTTCCTACCTTGCAGGCCAACTGGAGACAGCCCCAATGCGAAATCATATGGTGTCGTTTTTATCCTCTGCCCTCCTTTCATTCTACTGTAAGCCTCTTTCTCTCTTCGACTTTTATTGAGTTCTTTTGAAGCTTCGCAGTAAAATATCGCCTAACGTTGCAAAGCGGAAGGATCTTCCATTTCTATTCTCAGTAAGTAATGGTGTGTTGGTTTGTTGTTTTCGGTTCGGTTTCCGTTTTCAAAATATACAGACGGTCACTGGCACAATCATATTTTTGCACCTTAGGTACTGTTGCCAGCATGGCCTCTTGGTGGGAAGCCTTCACTTCCTTGTAGCTGTGTTTTTTTTTTTTTTCCCCCCAAGAAAAAGGCTTGTACTGTCACAACTTAATGTGAAGAGAATTGCTTGAATATGGCTATTATGGGACAGTTATGGGTGGGTAATCTTTTACTTCAAAACTATTTCGAACCAAGACAGAAAGTTCTCTGTTGACCAGTGGGTATTGGAAGTTATTGAATTTATAGAGGCTTATCAAATTGATTAGTGTGTTATGAATATGATGTGTTTTTGGTACCTGAAGTTTAGGAGTAAGATTTCTAAGATTGTGGTGTTTGAGATATTTTGGGTAATTTGGTGTAGTCATTCTAACTTATTATCTCTTGTTAACTGTTTTCTTGCCCCCAGGAAGGGGTAGTTTTCTGAACTGAAATTATTTCCTTTTAAAGTTGTAGATTTTGCAAGGGGAATTTTGAATTTGACTATTTTATCATATAAAGATAAGTAATTTGAATCTTTTATCGATTGTCAGCATTTAAGTGCTTGAGTGCATATTGATAGCATTGGACAAATTTTTAGAAACTGATGTTAAGATTCATATTTAAAGAATAATGACTGTCTATTAACATATTCACTGATGAGTGATAAGACAGATATCTACAAGGAGAAACAGTAGCAGATGCTAAGGAACTTATTGTGAAATTTTTTGGCTGGCTGGGCCATGGTATGCGATATACATGGTCTGGTTTGGCTGTTATTGCTGCAAAAGCAAGTGAAGGCTTTGGGTACATATTGATGACCCTGTGTATTCTGAATGTCTTCTATTAAAATAAACAAGAAGGGAAAATATAGGAGGCTGTTGTTCTGCTCTAAACAATGAGAATTAGCAACAGTTTGAGCAGTAATGGAAAATGACAGAACTTGGATTTAAATTTTTCATTTGCAAATTTGTTTGAAGCTTAGCTTTGATCTCAGTGTCAATTTTCAACTCTTGCTCTCTATTAAAGAGGTATTTATAAGCCTATCCTTTGCCAGCTGATAGGATTTTTATAAAAATAAATGACTTGTCAACACTTCTTTAGCTAGGACTTTGGTTCTTTATGCATGATTGTAGGAGTTATTTGCCACAGAAGTTACAAAATAATCTTCTCTTTTTGGCTTTATGCACTGTGAGGTAGCTTGGAAATTTGGAGGAAGATTTTGACTGAAACTGGAGATCTTCTGCTCTATCTTATCGAAGTTTGGGACCAAAAGGAGAATAAGAGCATTGAAGTTTTGTTCTCTCTTCTGGAGTGTTAGGTGTTTCAGTTGGAGAATACACATGCTTAATTTTAGTAGGATAGGCTGGTTTCTTAGCTTACTTATGAGTTTCAGCTGATGGAAGTTTTTTCCACAGTGACCTTTATCTCATATGTAAAGAGATTGGGTTGCTTTTTGGAACCAATTTACATTATTTCTTCCCTGTTTTCTTCTTTTTTTTTTTTTGGGTGTTAGGATGATTCTTGATCTCACACATTCTAATAAATAAACTCATATATTATTTGAGAGATAACTAAGTTTCTATTTGTATGGCACACCTAGTCTATTGGTATTAAATTATGATAGCACCATGATGATGCAATGACATTGAACCATGAAATCATTTCTTACCTTCCCATATTTTTTACCACAGCAGTTTCCTTCCTTAACAGGGTCTTTCGACCCTGTAAATTTGATAATATTTGACGAAGAATGCACTGAGTAATTAACTCCTCAGTTTCTGCTTTATTATTGATGAAAGTTAACACATAAATAGAGGCTTCGAGGACATCAAGATAAATCTAGATAAAGATAAATACTAATCAGATTTATACTAGAACTACCTAATTAAACTTTAAATAAACTAATAAAGGTAAATAACTAGGCCCATTTCGATGGTCTTGGGCTTGCTACTTCTAACATCCCCCTCAAGTTGGAGAATAGATGTTCTTCATTCCTAGCCTCTTGGGAATCCTTCAAACTTTGTAGTTGACAAGGCTTTGGTTAGTATATCTGCAACTTGTTGATTTGATGATGTATATATGACATCGATCTGCTTGGCTTCTATCTTTTCTCTGATGAAATGCCAGTCTATCTCAACATGCTTCATCTTAGCATAATGCACTGGATTTTTCACAAGCTTGATAGTGGTTGTATTGTCACAAAACGTCTTTACAGATCCATCATAAGTTGTCAACTCTTCAAGGAGTCTAGCTTGATAGTGGCTGTATTGTCACAAAACCTTACCTTGCTGCCTTTAGATTCCATGTGTAGAGAAATCTGACTAAATTGCTTGGTTGTATTCAACTCAAGAAGGCAGTTTATATGCAACGTAGGAGCCTCAATCATAATGGCTCATCAATACCCTGATCTAACACCGTGATTCTTGGGATAAATAGGCCTGGCCTAGTTTCTATTACACCACTTGTGTACATGGTGCACTTTGGCCATCGTTTTGTGGGGTTCAAACCTTTTAAAGTTATTTTGGGAAACAATTGTTTTTTAGATATTTTGCAGCTTATTGATCCCGCCCTCTTTTGCTTTCTATATTTCTTTTGGTTTAACACTGGCATTGAGGTTAAAAGTGTATATGCGATGTGAACGTTTTATTGTTATTACTGTTACTTTCTACAAAGTTTTTGACTAAGTTGTGTGCACGTGCATAATCTATAGCAGCCATAATATACTTAAGTTATGAATAATATGACTCATTTTCGAACTCTATGCAACACACAAGGCACCTTGTTTTGTTTTCTTAATAGTGAAACTTTATTTCTTGTAATTTTTGTGAAATCAGTCTTCTGCATCAATATATTATGAAATTATGGTTTGATTTATTTGGTAGCCTGGTGATTTATCTGCTGAATAGAAGCTGAAAATTTTTATATCATGACAAATTGAACTATTTTAGGTCAATGTTTATAACTGGAATTCTTGTGGATTTTTGTGACAGTGGAGGACAAAGGAAATGATGGAGAACAAGGATCTGTAGAAACGAGTGCAAGCATGTTAGGCGGAATTGAATTTCAAGAACCCTATGTGGGCATGGAGTTTAATTCTGAAGAAGATGCTAGGAAATACTATGTTGAATATGCTAGACGGGTGGGATTTGTAGTACGTATCATGCAACGTCGCCGTTCAGGTATAGATGGTAGGACTCTTGCCCGTCGACTTGGATGTAACAAACAAGGTTTCTCTCCAAATTGTAAGGGCCCAATTGGACCAGACAAAAAGCCAAGGCCAAGTGCGCGAGAAGGTTGCAAGGCAACAATTTTAGTGAAGTTGGAAAAATCTGGAAAATGGGTTGTTACAAGATTTGTAAAGGATCACAACCATCCTCTAATTGTTACAGCAAATGGGTTCATCACACCGGTGAGCTTTTGTTCTGGTTTAAATAATACATTCTGAATTGGAGCTTTTTTCTTGACTTAAATAAGAGTTAAGGTGCAAATTTACCCTAAAAGTTTTCACTCAGGAGCATTGTTGTCCCCGAAGTTTCTTCGGATTCAAGGTTGCCTTGGAAATGTTAAACCACAGCCATGTTACCTCTTACCGTTAAAAATGTTAACAGTTAATGTGAATATTGTAACGGTCAGTGTTAGTTTTTTAATGGGGGTTGGAAACACTGATACATTTTGAAATTTTCGGGCAACATTGGTTCTGAGCGAAAGCTTACGAGGCAAATTTGCACCTTGACCCTTTAAATAACCATATACTGTAGGCTACGTATTGACGTGTAGCATACCACTTGAGAGTGAGAGTATGATGTTCTCTTTTTTCTTTTTTGGTAAAAGATTCAGGTCCAGGACCCCTTTATATTAATTGAATAAAAAGTATCATTTCATGAAACCAATAGTAGCTGCTCTGCATGGTGTTGTAGCATCTGAAATTTTCCCTAATAGAAGCAAAGGCAATTCATTGGTATAACTAGAATATGTAAAGCTAACTCTTTGAGGGGCTCTTTTTTCTGTGTCTGACTGAGAGAATATGTCATTTAGTTTGTGTGAGCATGCAAAAGCCGTGGATCAAAGCACTAGATGTTTCAATTTCTGGATATAATATTTTTGAATTCTTGTGTCCTATGAACGATATTTGTCCTTACCAGAGGCGTGATGTATATTATAATAAGTTGCACGATCAACTGTTTTCTTCCCTTTATATCTCAAATCTAAACAAAATAATTATAGAATCACGCCATGTTGATCAATACTTATTTTTACGTCAAAAACAAATGAAACAACTTACTTGGGGTTCTTTTATAACTTGTAAGAACTGCTGATTTTGGTGTCCCATGAAAAAGTGTGGATTCTTTTTTGGATTAATGTGATCTTTGGTCCCTCAAGTTTGCCCTCATTTTGGTTTTAGTCTCTCAAGTTTCAAATCATAGGTTTTGCTTCCTCAAGAGACAAAATGATCTAAGTTTTTATTGGATTATAGGAACCAATATTTTAAATGAAAAGAAATTTGAGAGACTAAAACCTATGGTTAAAATTTGAGAGATCAAAACTAAAATGTAAACAAACTTGAAAGACCAAAGCTTGTATTAACCTTTTTTAAAAAAAAAAAAAATATTGATGTAGTTAATGATTTAACAGTTAATCTTGTGTTACATTACATCAATAGCTATCTCTTCCAGAAACCTCATTTATGCCACACCAAAAGAGTCTGAATGCTGTGTTCAAATAAGAAAATTTTATGTCAAATGGAAGAGTCCGGAGGCTGTAAGGATCCAACATTTTATTCTGAAGCTTGTAAGTTATATGAACCAAGCTTTGGTAGGCTTTGAATGAATTAAGAGTGATATAGAAAACCAAGAAAAAAGGGAGGGGAAGAGAAAGAAGGAGTACTAAAGGAGAAAGGGAAGAAAAACACCCCCCGGGGAGATAAAGAAAGAAAACGGATGTTGGGAGAGAGGATAGTAGAAAATGATTAATCTAAATTTCAAATCATCCAAATCTGACAAAAGAGAAGCCATAAGAACTGCTAGGTTTGTAGAAGATTTGTCCCGCTATATTATGGATATTGTAATCTGCAACCTTTTATGGCCAAAAGAGAATAACATAAACCGTGAGAACTATTAGGATCGTAGAAGATTTATCCCATTATTATGTAGATATTGTCATTTGTAACTTATGATAGGGATAGGATACTATTGTATAATTATGAGCCATTAATTCCAACATTCCCATCTATTTATATATGGATACTTAGAATGAATGAAAACAACGTGCGAATCATATTTCCCTACAAGAACTATTTATAGGAAGCCCAAAAGACAATAGAGGAAAGGGAACATATTTTCCAATGTTCTAATCAAAAAAGGCATGAGATTAAAGAGGTTATAGTTGGCTTACAACGAGAGGTAGCTTTTGACATTTCTCAATCTTGCCTGGAAGCTTATCATTTTTCATGGCTTATTTGCAAATAATTAGATTAAATAGAAGGTTCAATTATTTCTACCACATTGTTCGTGTTTTCTTTTTCCCCCCTTTTCTTTCGATGAACAAGTATTTTTCTTCTTGCAGGGTGATAAAGACAAGAAAATTGAAGAACTGACTAAGGAATTAGAGCGCCAAGATCAGCTATGTGCAGCATATAGAGAAAAGCTAATCCGTTTCATGAATAATGTGGAGGAGCAAACACAAGAACTGTCGGAAAAAATTCAAATTATTGTAGAAAATGTAAGGAAAGTTGAATCCGAAGTGCAAAAGAATCCCTTAAATAGAAAGTCTTGGGGTTCATCCTGAGTTCTAAATTAGCGTGATTCTGTACATAATTCCACATCCGATCTTCATCAACTCTCGCTTTACTCTGTATAGTAGTTTGTTACATAATGGAACTGATGCTTCATGTATATCTTCTATGTTAAGGCTGGCTATTTTTTAGGGTTTGTTGTGGTTCTTATCAGTGTTGTTCTTGTCTGTATTTATTTTGTATTTTAAATTTAAAATCATGATACTTTTTTTTTCCTTTTGAATTATCAGTTTTGTTAAGGGAAACGGGAAAGTAGAGAACTTGCTACAGCATTCAACATTAATAGTCTCACATTTTTTCTAGTTACTTGTCTCCTTTTTTCCTCCTTGATAGGAATCCAGAGGGCAATGCTGTTACTTTACCCAAGATGTTGGCCAAGTTGGAGGAGTCCCACCTGACAAGAGGGTCGGATCCTACGTGAAATTCAACTATGGCACGCATGGAGGATAAAAGATTGTCTTTCTCCATGTGCGTTACGTGAAAGTTGAGTTGAATGCCACGTAAAATGTCACCTATTCTTTTTGAGCTTCTTGTCAGGTAAGACTCCACCCACTAGGCTAACATTGTACCAAATGATAGCACTGACCTCTAGATTTCTATCACCCCTTGAACATGCACTTTCACCATGGCACCATACAAGCATATAGAATTCCGTTGTTCATAACCTTCAAGTATAGAAAGTCGACAGGATATTAATCTTTTATTTGAAAAAGTACTAGTAGATTCTACCGGAAAATAAATAAAACAGTAGTGCTAGCATATGAAGAGTTTTTATCTGTGGATTATCAAGGAAAAAATGTGAGTTTTCCAGTAATATGTCAACTTTTTAAGTTACTCTTCCGTGGGTAAGAAAGCTGTTATAATCTACAAATATTTACCAAGCTTCTTCAATATTGAAACAATTGGATTATGCAGTATCATAACAAAAATGAGAACAATTATCAACAAAGAAGACGTCTAATTTACAACTGATTCACTGCTACTTTTTCACTTCATGACAAATTAGGCACTGTAACATATTATTGGGCTTGCAAAGGAATAACGTAGTACAGCACCTCAAGCTTCCGTGTAATTCTCAAAACCTTTTACATAAAGTACATCTTAAGCAATCGAGAAAAAGAATCTTCTAGCGAGTGTCCAGAGGGTTTTCAACATCGTTCTCAAGCTGTTTTACATTGTTAACGACAAGTTCGAGTTTTCCTGATAAAACTTCAGTTTGCTCCTCCACAGATTCCAGTAGGGAAAGTAAAAGCTGGCGATATAGTTGACATAACTTATCATGACGCTGAAGCTCCCTCGTGAGTAGTTGAATCTTAAAATCCTTCGATTCCAGCTGGAAGGTTAGCAAACAAAGTTTTTGTTAAGAATTCACATAGTTGTCAGTCCTCAAACCAAAACAAGGGTCCCAGCAACATGGCCACATGGGGAAGGTGCAGACTAAGGTTAAAACACGGATGTCAGGATGGAGGGAAAAGAGGAGGGAAAATACAGAGGGAGAAATACTAGGGGCGGAAAAAATTTCCAAAAATAGTAAAAAAAAATATTTACTATTTTAGAGTTTTTTCCCTCCTAGTATTCTTTCCTCCCTAATTTTCTTCCCATCCAAACATAGGGAAAAAGTTGACTGTCAGAGGTCTTGAGTAATTATCCATGGTATTTCATTTTCTGCTATAAACTCATCCTGCTCCTGAGCTTCTAAAACAAATATTCATTCTTATTGTAACCAAATTGGGAATAATAATTATCCATTCCTACTGGTTCCATATTGGGCAGGCAAGGAAGTATTTGGACAGGCTCCATTAAAAGGAATCTGCATTAAGCCTCAGGAGAGGCACAAAGACGGCAGAATGGTTGATATTTGATCTAAACAGTCTGAATTTTAAAATGCATTACTTCTTTCATTTTGTTTTATTTTTGGTCCTAAGGAAGTAGAATGCAGAATCAAAGCAGTTTTCCAACTCAGATCTTATTAAAGAAATTTAGATTAAATATATGAAATAAAAGAGTCAACAAAGTTAGACTATCTTATTTTTTTCCAATTAAAAAGGAAGGTATTAACGGCTTGAGATATTAATAGCCTGATATTATAAGCAAGATCAAACTTGCAACCTCTCATAAAGAGAGTATTCATGCCACTAGGTTAAAAGTCTATTGGCAGACTATTTTTTTTTTTTAAATTAAAATCTAGACTATCAGTATCCAATATGAATCATCAAATTTCTTTTTCCCTCACTTGAGGCTCAATGGAGGACCCTCTCAATGGAGAGGATCAAAATCTCATACAGGATGCCGAGAAGAAAATATCAGCATTCACAGCTGATAAACGACAGTCTAGTACCTTCCTAATTCGCTCTCTGCCTATGACAATCACCATGCAATGAATGTGAATCTAAAATCCTTTATTTCATTTGATTTTAACCTCTAGGACTTCTGGACAGAGTGTTAGGTGCAAGATGACGATGGTGACTTAGAAATTAGAATCATACCAAGTCAAAGTTGAAGCTGTGCAGAAGCATGGTGAAACAATGAGAGTTTTAGGTTATGGTCCTAAACAACTAAAAATTGGAAAAAGTAAATTTAGAGTATAACAGCTTAAATATTCTAATACCAAAATCAATTATAGGAAAAGAAGCCAAGTGATGCATACAAAAGCACATAGTGCATTTGTATTGTTCTTGTAGAATAGAACATTTATCTTGGCACTGCCTGAAAGTTGGAAAGACGAAATTACGAGTTTTATCTAATGATTACTTTCCCAGAACAAGTAATAAGCCTGTAATGCCTAAACAACATGAGTAGAGGAAATAGCAGGCATAAGTGAGGCATGAATAAGTTATATATTGTCTTGTAAAAACTTCTAATTAGTTTGAACATGGTCTTCTTTTCAATAGAAAAGATGAAAGTTTCAGAATTCTCCCTCAATTTAGGACAGAGGAAAATTAAAATCTCAGGCATTTCAGAAACAAACAGTCAAATACTGTACTATTGAAAGCAATTAAGTATCAGAACCTTTCTTCAATGAAAACTGAAGGACACATCAGCAAGAATACATGGCTTTATACTTCTGAATTCTGATCATGATTTATAATCGATTAAATGTAAAAACAGCATGAAACTCAATTGTATGCAATTCAAAGATTGTTGTGAGCACTATGATGGATAGAGAATATGAGAACTGACTATTCAATGTCAGTAAATGTAAAAGATATAACTCACCAAAGTTCTATCAGTAGCATAGGCAGAAACTTGTAGAGGGTGACAATGTTCCTTCACAAATTTAGTAACAACCCATTTCCCATGATTGTTTACTTTAACCAACATCATAGCCTCACAGCCTTCTCTTATGCTAACTCGTGGTCTCTGAACTGGTTTGGTCCCATTTCTAGGTCTCACATAAAAGCCTTGCTTATTGCATGAAAAACGTCGAGAAAGGATTCTATTATCAGTCTCAGAACGATGGCAACGATCAAGACGAACAATAAACCCTTCCTGTCTCGCGTATCCACTGTAAAATTCCCTGGCAGCCTCTTCAGAATCAAACTCCATACCAACATAAGGTTCTGAAATGGATCTGTCTTCACATGTTGTTGGTATTTTCTCAGCAGAACTTTGAACACTTCCTACCTCAGTATCCAAATCCACTGATCATACAACAAAAATACATTATTCAATGAAAATGTTTGGCAATAAGCTTATATAGAAACATTGCTTTGAATCTAAAAAATAGTCATTGCAACATAAAAAATAACAACAGAAACTGAAATATGATAATTATAATTGAAAGTTGAACACCAAATTCCAAGGTATTTATCAGAGCACTAATGATGAGAAACTTAGATCTCCTCTATCAAGAGGGTGTAACAAGGAGAAAGATGAGATAGGGGGTGAGCCCCACAACACATCAAATTGATTCATTTACATTCATGCCTTCATGTATTGCAAGAAGGAGTGATGATGGGCCAATCCACGTCAAATTGAGGAGGTGTTTGGAAGCACCCAAAAGTGCTTCGTCGAAAAGTGGCAAACTCTTCCAAGTATTTACTTCGCACACTGTACAGGCACTTTTAGAATCATGGTTTTGATTTCATCCAAACACCCCTTAAATCATTTACATTCATGCATTGACCTATTGTAAGAACGAGTGATACGAAAAAACATAATATGTGAAGTCCACACTAAACATCTACACCTATAATCTCTTCTCTCTTCAACTCCGGCCCAAATTCACATATGCATAGGATATATTGCACTCCTCAGTGCATTTTCTCCATTGGAGAGAATCTGGACTCTATAACGAGCACAAAGGCAGAAATTTATCGATATGCAACCCAAAACTAAACCCCATCAACTTGCAGTCAAAGGTAAGATTGCCGTTCGCTATATGTAGTATACATCTAGTAGCCCATAAACTCTAATCGATCAGGCACTACAAATAGCCACGGGTCTAATTCCCCATTCCAACACTACCAAAATGCAGAATTAATATGAATTATGAGCCAATTCCCTCATAACAAAATACAATCCAAATTGAGCTCGAGCAGCTAGCCAACGGCAGAAGAAAAACAAAAATCGAAACCAAAACAGAAAATGAAAACAAAACAAAGAAATTTAAGAGCAAATAATGAATCCAAAAATTGAGGAGAGTTACTTCTTAGCTACGGGACTTCATCGAGGACGCTCAATCTAGAGGAAGTCAGGAAAGCAAAGCACTTCAAATAATCGACTGCTTTCTTTCAGGTTTATGATGATGGATAAGCAATGGGTTCAAATAATATTTCTGCGCCAAATTCAAAGAGTGAAGCTGAGACCGAAACCAGGGTTCAGTTCATCGCATTCAAAGGCGAACGAGAGAAGAAACCTCAGCTTTTGCTTTTCTTTGATTTTTTTTTTTTGTAAAAAGGAAAACAAACGTAGGTTTTTTATTAAAACAAATTTTGTGACTCCAAAATAAAGAATTTTTTTTAAAGAAAAAGATATTGACTTAGCTAAAACTAACTTTCGTTAAATTTTGTTAAAATTAAAAAAACTTCTTTTTATTTCGTAATTATTAAAATATACTAATTGTCTCATACAATGTAAAAGCTAATTATTTCTCATATACATTTAGTATTCTAATTTTATTTATAGTGCATCTAATACTCTAATATTATTTTTCTGACAAATTCAGCACCCCAATATTTTTTTTTTAGTTATATCTAATATTTTAATTTTTATGGTTCTAGTTACACCTTTACCCTTCATAAAATATAAGATACAAAAGAAAAAACTGAAAATATAAATACCATTTAAAACCAAAAGAGAATAGTAGAAACTTGAATACGATTGAGGAATTTTCATCATATTTATTTCTATGTAACCAATAAAACATTTGTTGCAACTTGCAATAGCCTAAAGATTACAAACAAACAATATTCTGGCAAAAAAAGCACAAACAATATTGAAGAAAACACCTTACAGGCTTACACCTCCAAGGTATGTAGATTATGTACCAAAGCAGCTCCCCCAAAAAAAAAAAAAATTATGCACCAAAGCATTGATATATATATAGCAGGAGGAAATTTAAATTGCTAATGCATATACAATTATTTATATACTAATTAATTGTATTTCAATAAGGAAGCCATATAAATTAGGAGTGAGATTTAAAAGCCTTGAATTATTTTTAATGTTTTTAAAACTCTAATCAACGGTGTTCCATTTTCAATCCAATATCCGTTTGTACAAAATGCATCGGAATAATTTCATAATGCAACTCATTATTTTAAAAAAATCAAAATAAATTAAGATAACTAGTAATTAAATTAGTGGAAGAGGAATTATTGAACATCTCAAGAAATGTCAAAACAACTCGGACTTAAAAGGATTGGTCCGGATTGTATTAAAGCTGTAGACTTTAGTAATAGAAGTACTGATTGTAATTATCCTTTTAGTGACCTAGTTGATCAAGTTAGGAAAATTATTCATAAAGAATGGCAGGCCTTATTAATGTATAATCCTAGGGAAATCTTGCTACTATTGATTATCTTGCTAAAACTTCCTATTTTATGAAAGTTAACTTTTATATCCTCGATCCATCTCTACCTTAACTTGACGGGATGGATCGTGACCAAGGAAGTTACTTCTTGTAATGCTTTATCTAGTTCTTATTCAAAAAAAGATTGGTCCATTTAAAACTGAAAAACAAATAGACATCTATTTTAAGCTTGTCAAGTGTCAAGTATTAGCTCGTATTCTTAATATAAAAACTAGTTGGATATTTAATTTGATTTTAAATATAATATTTTAATTTACTTTATCCTTAATATTTATTTATTTTGTCCCCAAATAATTTCTATAGTGATTGCACATGTTAAAGAAATTTCATAAAAGAGTAATTTCAATACACATAATTGATAGTGGTATTTTAGACCAAACAATATCAATTTATTACAAATAATTAACTAAACTAATTTTCTTAATATCTGCAAATTAGTTATGTAGTAGCTCTTATATCAACTGTCCGAGGTAGTTTTTTTTTTTTTTTAACAGTCACACAACGTTACAGATGTGGAAAAATAATTTATTGATAGGGGAGAATGACCACAAAAAAAAAGCTGAAAATTACTAAATGCCAAATAAAAAATGTAAAAAAAATTTATTGTTATTTATAAATTTAGTATTGTCAATACCAAGTAAAATATTATAACCAAATTTGATTTCAACTTCTTTTTTTTTTTTTTGTCATTTGCCCCTGTTGATATGTTGCAAGTATAAACATTTGTCGAGTTTAGGACCTACGGGCTAGGCTAAGGAAGAGTCTCTCTTCTCAGGGGGTACTGAGATCTGAGGAAAGTTTTGTAGTTTGAGAAAATAGTCGGCAGTTATGCGCACAGGGAAAGGCTGTTAGTGTTACTAGTATAATTAGAGGTTTAGATATAGAGACTAGTTAGGAATTTTATGAGATGTATAAGTGTTGTTTGGCACTTTATGTTCCTAATGTATATGATTTGAATCAGGAAATCTATGAGATTTATTGTTTTATTTTTGTATATTTTAAAATAAATGAAAAATTGAAATTTAGCAAAATAACCTAAAACAAGTGGGCTTTGAGCCTACATGTTCAAGGATTGGGCTTCAAAGACAAAGCACTTTTAGAGTAGGAGGGCTTTCAGACCCAATTCTTTTATGCTTAATCCCATCAAAAGTCGAGTTGGGTCCAGTTGTATGGACAACTCTTATGTACCATCTCACTTGTACACTTACCAACCCAATTGCTCCCTTTCATGCTAAATCCATCCAACATGTATGCACCAATAGGATTGAGTTTAGTAGAAGGACTAGCCTCTCACAACTTAACAAATCAAGATTTGAATTCTCGTTGAGAGAAATACTCACATTTAGTACCCAACAGTGTCCCGAATAAGGTTGCTATCAATAGAAGGATACTTATGCTTTAAGGGGAAAAAAATATATGTCATGCACCCTCTCCACCTAATTTATTTTAATATTTTTATTAATATCCATATGCACAAGGGACGGAAGTCGTTCTGGTCATGAGAATTGAAATTTAGAACCGATAATCTCTTATTTAATTTTGGACCCCAAAAAAATCTCCTATTTAATCAGTTTTTTAAAAAAAATGATTTTTTTTGAAATTATCAGTTGAAATCTGAACTATTGACACTATATTTAAATGATATAAATTCATTGTAGAATGCTTATTGCTGTAATGAATAATGAAACTGGTTGAAGTCTCTCCCGCTAACTTTCTCATTTTCCCCTAGGCCAACATCACAATCAACTTGACATATTATCCTCGTCCTTTTTCCACTGCGAACTCAAAGGCTCCACCTTTATCTGTCTAAACCCAGGGTGAACCCAACACTTCTTTTTTTTTTTTTTTTGGGTTGAAAAGCAGAACTACAAATTTTATTTATTTCTTATTATGTCAAGATTTTCCTCCATTTATGAATCAACACAAAGGTTTCTTAGATCAGCGGTGCTTCAAAGTTGCAAGACAATTTCAAGCAAAGACAGCAACAAATGCTGTAAAAAGATAAGAAGAAAATAGCCCATCTCCCGTGAATTGCATAGGGATCCAAATAGTTTTTCTTAGAAGATGCCTCTTCAGTTTCTCACCAGCATATCTACACTATTAATATTATAATTCAAGTCTTGAACAATACAGCATTTTTTATTAAATTTAGGCATTACACAACAAAATAAAGAGCGACTACACTCTAACCTCTGTCCAGTCAACATTCGTCAAGCCATCTCCATCAAAACTCAGACCATTTTCAAGCAAAACTGATCAATTTCTGTAGCATGCAATGCAATATGAAAAGAAGCATCGGATTTATAATTCGTTTGAAAATACAGCTCCATCCAACCAGCTCAATAATTATTGTGCCCTTTTGGCAGATCTAACTTTGTGAATTCCCACCAAAACATACTGATGAGGTATCAAGTATTTACAAATGCTTGAGCTTTACACGCCATTTTGTCATTAAGTTGGCTTAAATTTTGATATTATCATGTAAATCTGTAGCAGAGTTTAGTTGCTCATCATCAGTCTCCGGATCTTCATATCTGCATCTCTTCTTTATACTGGATGCAGCTGTTTGGACAACATATGTTGTACACTGTAAAGCAGGACAAGCCATATCAGATTATCAGTGCTAGAATCGAAAATGGAGGAGGGGAAGGGGGAAGATAAAGCACAAATCAAGGAGGCTAACGCAAAATGATGCAGAGTTTAAGCCTCTATTATAGTACTAGCCTATGGAAGGGACACAAGCAAACACAAAACAAATACATGAAATAAGAAAACATACACAGTATTCAATATGAGACTTAACATCCTGTAATATCACCTCTTTAATACTGGCCTCTCTTGAAAAGTCAAGGGCCGCCATTAATGGTACTCAAGTGGGATTGGAAACCCTCTCATGAAAGCTAGTTATTAAGATGGATAAATCAATTCACTTAAATACCCCATTAATCATCTTATATTACATGATGAGGGACTTTCAGGTATTACATCCTATGTAAATCTCCATCAAAGTCAAGCACCAACAATTCTATAGCCATCCTCGAAATGTGGAAGCATTTGTAAAGTTATATTTAAGGTTAAACAGAGATTTTAATTCGCCCAATCAACCAAGAGATAAAATTCATTTGGTACCCAATTTAAAAAAATAAAAAAGACATGGTTGAATAGTAACAACAAAGACATAATAAGAAAAACAAAACCCAACTACGTGGAGAGCTTAAGTTCTTAATTATTTAATTCCTTGTCCAACTTGCCAATCAACCACTCATCGCCATAGTCAATGTCCTTCAACAAGATTGGGTCAATGACATTAAAAGAGTTAAATCTTCTCCTGAAAGCCCTATTACATTATGCTTATTGAATACTAAATTATTCAATTTTGGGTGTTCAGGGATGGGTCGATAGAATATCCCATGACAGCCTATGACAGATCAGGGCTGCTGTTGCCTTATTTATCAGTAATCTTGTAGCCCGAGCCAATGCAGCTATTATGGGGCTTCATGAAGTTGTAATGCTACACGAGGCGTAACGCCAATAACTGTACTACAGAGCTAAAAGTCGTTCCCTGAGCTATCGTGAGCCTTTAGTAATTGTAAGCAGATGACATAAAATCATTGAGATGATTGACTGGAAGTACATTATGAAGAAAATAAGAGACGGATAGAGAGCAAACCTTTTCTTTCTCCATTCCAGCAGTATAAAACTTACCATGCTATAGTCATTCACCTGTTGCAGAAAATAAGTAAATATATAAACAAGAGGATAGGACAAATGAAGATATTTGAAAGTTTAATTGATATTCATGCTAATCTCAACTTTAAGGAAATCGCCAGAAATGATTGTGGCAAAATGGGAGAGGGAGTGGAAGTGTGTAGATGAAAACCGACTTGAGAAAGAATCACCACTCCAGCATACTTAAAATTACATAAAGATTGTTGTTTTCCTTCGACATGGGGATCAATTCAAATAATAATTGGGAATTGGGCCATAAAATAGTAAAATAAACTATTTTTCAGTCTGAAACACAGCCACCAAAATTGACACTTATTCCTTTATCAGACTAATACATTCTACAATATGCCAATCAAGTGTGAATATAAAATACATAAAATTAACTTTCCTTTCGCCATTTGAGTTCTCCAATAAAAGCATAACAAGTGAAAAGAACTTGAGAGAATCAATCATATGATGCTGAGCTATAAAAATGTCAACTTGTCATAGTTTTACTGGAGATCTCCATGACATATAACTATAAAAGTGCATCTAGGTTCTCGCCAAATAAACTACGAGAGTTCATATGGCACAAACTCTAATAAACTAGTCAAGAACGAGGAAAAGACCATCAGACAGAACAGCTAATTTATAATAGACTATCTTGAAGGGACTAAAATGACTTGAAGATAAATACACAGCAAACGCAGCTAATCAAGCAACTCCCTGAGTTAGAAACCTAAAGAAACAACTACAATAGCAGTTCTGAAAAACTTTTGAAACAGACAGAGGAACGATAAAACTTTCGTCCTTGGCATATGGGGCCATAAAAATACTGACCATGTGAGAATACATGTTTAACCTGACCATACCAAATAATAGGGCATATATCCAAGATTACCCACCAATTCAATCAAAGATATCAATAGGCTGATATCCATCTTGAACTAGCAAGGATCTGAGAAGAAATTAGAGGCCGCAATCACAAGTGAATAACAATAATAAGAAGTACATTAACATGACAGTACGGCAAATTTATCAAACTAAAGCATAACAGTGGTTCGCCATCGGTGATAAATTGAGCAAGAAAATTACAGAAACCAATCAGGATCTCAACAATTTTACACCGACAAGAAGAAAGAAGAAAATAATAACCAACCCAAATAAATTACCTCGCTGCTAAGAGTTGGATTTATAACAAGCTGTGCATAAGCCATGGCAGTTCAAAATAGACGGAGAAAATTGATGGCTCGAAAGGAGGCAACAACAGCAGCAGTAATGTAAGCAGTACACCAAACTCCCACGGCGAATAACAAATTCAGGAAATTAGTGTAAGCCATACACGACAGAGTCCCCGGACGGAGACGGTACAAGAAAACCTGAACGACAAAAGATCAACTACAAAATAAATAAATAAATGCTTCGTATCCACTTTTCCTTTTCTTTTTTTTTTTAATACAAAGATAAAAACAAGCAAGTAAACGGCTCTCAGGGGTTCTCGCAAAGCAAACAAAAACTAATAATGACAACACAAGCTACACAATCCAACAGCACAATTTATAAAAAGAGAAATATTTCCACGGCCGTTATGACAGAGAAACAAAAAATGATCAAGCAAACAATCAAGCTCGTCTTTTCCAGAAATTCGAACTTGTTTCGGTCAAACCACAAATTTTACGGGCTACAGAAATTCAAACTGATAAGCTGAAGTAAGAAACTTTGAAATTTTAAAAACCCAGGGAGAAAGAGAAAAAGAACAAAAAGAGGCAAAATTGAAAGATAGAATGCTCGCATTGAATCGATTCGTTCAATGATCAAGAGATGAGATAAGCGCCGATTAGGGCCATGGTACCTCTGCAAAATGTGCCGAAGAAGACGAAGAAGAAGAAGATGACGATGATGATTGTCAAGGGATGATCGGAATGAGAAGAGAATGAGAGCTGTAAAGGTGATCAACCGGGTAGACAGGTAGGCTCTACTTTTTGACTCCGATGTCCAACCGCGGAATAAAGCTTGGGAAAAAAAAAAAAAAAAACCAAAGAAAGAAAGAAGGAAAAATTACAAATAAAATTTATTACAAAAAAGATAAAATCATAAAACTTAAATAAATGATTTTTTTTTTTTTATGGTCTTGATTGGCTTTATGACCCTTACCATTAACACTTTGAATACAAATAAATGAATATTGTTGATTATCTCTTAAAATATAATCCTTGGGTTATAAATATAAAACCCTTATACTAGTGTGTATAAGGTTCTTACATTTAGAACCGGAATAGTATAATATTTTATTGAATTTTTAAATTATTATTTATTTTTTCCATATATAATTATTAGTTATCTACACATAAAAAAATATCAAATATAAAAATCATTATTGTATGAACTATTCATATATAAACCATAAAAAAAGTACAAATTACTCTTCCGATTCTAAATATGAGACCCTTATATATATCATACAATGTCTGAAAACAAATAATTCTTTCCGGCCAAAAAAAAAAGAAAACAAATAGTTTTTGTTAAAAATATGAAATATATTTTTCGTTTATAAAAATTATTTTCTTCCATTTTATTTTCATTTTATTTCATCTTCATAATTTGTAGAGTTCTCTAAAAAATAAAAATAAAATTACTTGTCTAATTTTTTTAAAAAAAATATTTCGTGACGATTAAACTCAACTAATTGAAGAAATTACCTTGGAAATATATGTGACTATCATCTGAGTAGCTAAAGAAAAAAAGGAATTCAACATATTTCTTGATTTTGGCAAAAAAAAAAAAACAATATTTCTTGACTTTTAACTGTAATTTTAACCCATTTTTTGTCATACAAAATGATTGTTTCGTTTGATAATTCTATCTAAAAACCTCATAAAAATTTTAAAGATGAACCGAACTTAATCTATAATGTAAGGAAGTTATTTATATATTGCTGAAAGTTTGAGACATTATTTATAAAAAATAATTTGTTATTGGGAAAATAATAAATTAATTAACAACAAGAGAATTATGTGCATATCAATTTAAACTCAAAAATCCTTGTTTATATTTGATCTTAATAAATGTGAAAATAACACAATTTAGTAGGCACAAATGTGAGAGGTAGTGCATCTTCAATTACAAGAAATTTGATTAGGCCCATATGGGGAAAAAATAAATACAAGCTAAGTATCTTAAATTTTAGTAAATTTTTATACTTGTAAATCGAATTGCATCATTCATAAATAAAAATTATAAATTAGGGTATAAAAAGGTCCACGCGGAGAATCCTATTTACTATTTTTTTAAAAATATTTTATAACGTGTTTTCTGAATTATTCAACTTGATAGAATTATTCTTTTGGGTAATATATTCTTTGCCGTTTGGTGGATAAGAATGCACCAGTGGGCATTTCATTATATCTTTCAACTAAACTTGCCTTGTGCAAATAATTATTTTTCCTCCGGATGTCGTTTGGCATATATGCTTCCTTCAATTGCAAGAGAAGCTCATTTATCATTCCATTACCTCTGCTTTTAATAAAAGAGTTTATTTGACATTCAATTTGATCATAAATATAAAATTCTAATTAATTTTATTTATCATATTTTTTTATTTTTTTAACATATTGCACATGTCAAAGATTTTATAAAATGGCAGTTCTAACTAATACACATGATTAATGAGAGCATTTTAGAAAAATAATATTTATTTATTATAAATAACTAACATAACTAATTTTCTTGAGAAATGCTTTTGTCAATTAAAAAGATTATATTTATTAGAAAAAGGAAAACGCAGTTGAGATTTCTTGAATCTGAGTCATTTACAAATAACTTATATATATCGCATCATAAAGTTAAAACCTTATGTTGAAATTCTTAAAGCTATAAACGCTATAGTTCTTTGTCTCCAATTAGTCTTTCTTTCTTTAAATAATAAAATAGAGGTTTAAGGTATGAAAATATTTATGAATGTTTTTTTTTTTTGGCATATAGCAGCCAGTATCTTTAACTTAAATATGTTACACATATACATCAAAAGGCTCATTTAGAATGGCTTATAAATAAAATTTTAATTGTAATTTATAAAATATGAGATAAATAGGTGAAAGAAATTTTGAGTCAACTTATATAAAATGTGTTTATAAATGATTTTAAATGTGGTGACAAACAAAACCTAAATGTTTGAAAATAATATAATATTAAATACTTTTTGCACAAAGCTTCATGATTATTTTTGCACATTAACTCTAAAATATAATACACTAGGGGTTGATCTAAAATTAACTCAGGCAAATAGGCAATAAGAATATGATGACAAATATGCAAACAATTATATGTTTATGATTTTAACTCCCTAAATGTAACCTATGAAAATCATGTAATACACAAGGGGCTGAAAAAAAAGGTTTTCAAATTTAAAATTTTAAGGGAAAATAACCAAAAAATAACTATTGACTTTCAAAATAATAAATAGGTGATTTTAGCATGTTAAAAATTTTCCAAACTTTAAATTACGTACTAGTAAACCAAACAACACCAAAAAAAAAAAACCTTAAATTAAGTAAAATAAGTAGTGAATTAAATTAACACCATCTTGAAGGTAACAACACCATCTTAACTCAATGAACATTATACCAAGTAAAAAAATTTATTGGCTAAGAGAATATAAATTTGAACAGGTACAATTATTTTAGCGCACGCACCTTTTTTCCATTTTGACAATTATTACACATAACTGAAGATGAGTTGCACAGGACTAAAAAAAAAATTGTATCCGCAAAAGATAGTTACACTCACTAAGGGAGTGTTTGGATGCCCTTAAAATCATTTTTCAAAAACACTTTTTCGCAAATCGAGACAATCTCCTCCACATATTTGTTTCATATACCGTAAAAGCACTTCTGAAACCATGATTTTGATCTTATCCAAACACCCCCTAAGTTTAGATCCTTTTAGCCAATAAAATTTTAAAACACATACTTTTTGCCAAATTTACCTATGAAAAATGCATTAGATCAAACTAGAATATGGATCTCAGTCACATCATTAAGAAAAATGGGCTATTTGTTAAGCCCCTTTTCTGCGGATGAAGGAACTTCCAGATGACCAAAAGCATCATGAAGCAAAATGAAACAATTATTTCTCGGTAGCTCTGTCATCGCCTATTAAGGCTCCTGATCTTCCTTTATGATTGATTATGTATACAATACAACTTGGAGAAACAAATAAAACTTCAATCTCCAGATATGACTGGGCATTAAGAACCCTGCTTAATGCCATGAAACTCTCCTATCCAAGAATGATACAATCTGGGGAAATAATTGGAAAAGAAAAAATCTCGATGACTAAGACAACAAATCTAGTGCATGCTTGGGTTTACGTTGGAAACCACCAAAAGCCATGCTTTGATGTGAAACCAAACACACTGCAAATGAGCCATCAGATCATCAAGTGACAAGCAGCCTTCCTCAGTCAAAAATTTTCTCCCCAGTTGAAAATTGTAAGAATATTAAGGAACTAAAAAAACATAGCAAGCCAGGAATGAAGAACACTGCTCTCCAGCTATCAGGACCTGTAAGATCTGAATTAGCAGTTTTAGCAGCTTCAAGAAGTCTGCCAGTAAGGTCCACTCCAATAATTCCGGCTAAAGTGCCTGCCGTATTAGAAACACCCATCACAATTCCGGCATATCTTGGAGCCACATCCATGTGATTCACTGCAAATCCAGCTCTGCCCAGAGCCAGAAAACCCAGAGCCACAGAAGAACAGAAGATAGCCCCACCAGATGTTCTGAATATGGGAATTACAATCAATGCAAGAGAAGCAACTAAAAATCCTATGGTATTCAAGAATTTCCTGGTTTTTGTCACAGACATTATCCTCTTGGTGATTAAATGATCAGCAACTACACCACCTATGTTTGAGAATATAAACATGTTCAGATAAGGCATCATTTTTGAAGAACCCATATCTTGAAGGCTTAGTTTAAGGCCTAATTCAAAGTAGGTTGGCAGCCAATTCATCAACACATATAAACCATAATGAAAAGTGAAATTGTTCACAACAATTGCCCAGACTGGCAAGCTAGTTAGGATTTTCATCCAAGGGATTTTGGCTGCTTTGACTGAAATTCTTCCATTCTCAACCTTTGATCTCAGATTCCCCTTGATAGGCAACAATAATTCTCCAAACCCGGAAGCCGTGGCCTTTGGATGCTCAATACGAGGAGGATCACTGCCATATGTAAACCAAAGTAAGGACCACATGCCACCCATTGCTGCCTCGGCAACAAATATAGATTGAGGACCTCTAAGTTTCACTAGACTGGGAAGGACAAGCATTCCCATTGCTGCACCTAGATACATCCCAGAAGTTGTAAGAGAAACAGATCTAGATCTTTCATGGGGAGGAACCCATTGTGCTAGAACAGTGTGGATGGAGGGAAAGATGAACCCCTGTGCCACACCAACCAGCAAACGCGCAATTATTAACACAAAAACTCGATTGGGATCTAACGGAACCAATGCACAAGTTAGTGACCATACAACAAATGAAAGAAGGAGAACTGTCCTCCCTCCGATTTTCTGAGCAGCCCATCCCCCTGGCACTTGCGAACAAGCATATCCATAGTAGAAAGTAGATAGTATAGCCCCTTTGCTAGATTGATTCACTCCAGCAGCATCAGCAGCAACAGTATATGCAATTGAAAACCCAACCCTCTCTATGTAACAAACAGATGTGCAGATAAAGGTCAAAACGACAATCAGGTAACGCTTAGGGAATTTCATCATCCACTTCAACCACTTCACCTACACTTCAAAGTCCAAGCATTTACTTGGTTGACTCATTCAGATTTAGCATCCCTCTAACAGATTTCTCTTCTAAGATGATGATTCACAAGATTCAAGGAACTTATGCCCATAAATACTTCAACTTCACAACGGATCTTGGACGCCAGATGAAATCATTGATAACATTACCCAAAAACTTCATCATATTTGCTTTTCAGACCAAGAAGTAAATAAAGAAACGCAGAAGGGCCCACGCAATGCCAATTATTTAGCTCCGTTGCCAATTATTTACCACAGATCAAAACAAATCAGCTCCATACGCATGAAATGGAGAGAAGCGGATAAAACCCACCTCATCTTTTTCAAGAATTTTTCACTTTTCTGTGAGTTTTAAGAGTCCTGGCATTCAGATAGGGACCAAGAAATGCAAGAGAAGAATGATTAAGGATAAAAAGTCAATAAGAGGAGGGAAATGGAGTGAACTGAAATGGGGTCACGTACCTCGCCAGTGACGGACAGAATCAACGGCGTTCGTCACCGTCGAGACTGGAACGACGGATCGGAAAATAGTGGCGGGAGCTGGAATACAAAGAGAAGAAGAAAATATGGCAACTCGAATCGGGGGAAAGAATGCAGCCCCCTTTCACCTTCTTTTTTTTTTTTTAATAGTGAAAAGAAGAACTGCAGTAATTCTTGTCAAACTCAAAACAGCTTTCAGTTGAGATGCCGGGAGTGGCTCATGAGAAAAACGCAATTAGAAGTTCAAAACGCGTTAGGCATGTCGGTAAAGTTGTTGTCCTGGATTTTTTTTTGGGGGTTTTTTGTCAAAATATTTATTGAGGTCGTACTCATTATTTCTAATTTGGTATTTAAAAAATATATACTTTGAAAAATTTACATAATTCCAAAAAAATGAGGAAAAATAATATTTAAAGACCCTAAAATTATCAAATTCCAATTTAGATACTCCAATTCATATAATCCCTAGTCTATGTGGGAGACAAACTAAAATTGAAATTAGTGTCTTTTCCTCTTAACTCGGACGCTTCGCTGAACTTTCCCATCTTTCTATGTTTCGGTGTTCATGGAAAAGCTCATATCAGGGGATGCAGTAAGCGCAAGGCTTAAACAAACTCATATTAATTACGTTTTTTAATACAAAAAATGATATTATTTTTATAATTGACTAGGTAATAATGAGTTTTGATTGTCAAATTATAAATATAAAGTTAAGAATACTATTAATGTTTTTAGTACGCGTTATTTCTATAATATAGCAAGTCCTAAATGCAAAATGACAAGCCTGAAATAGAGATTAACAACATACTTTCTTTAAACTAACGAAAAAATTATACATCAACATTGTTACCGACATATGACTATTAACAAATGTTAAATAGAAAGTAATAGTATTGTCATGGTCGTTAACAAAATACTAGCATTACTATAACACCATCAAATTTTCATGTCATTGTATGAACATAGTACCAATAACAACACTTACATTAAAAATAACAACATTCTTATGATCAATAACAAAAAATCAGTATGACCATGATGGAAGTTACAATACAAACACCTGGCTTTTACGTTGTTGTGATTGAAGTTCAACAAGGAATCAAAGTCACAATTGTTGTTTTTGTTCTTTAGGCTCTCACATGTTGCTTGTTATGTTCCATTAAATCAATACTCCTCCGGTCGTTACAATACAAGACCCATTTAACTAATTTGATTAGATTAAGGAAGTTAGGTAAGTTAGTTAATTATAAGAAATGTGACACGTTTTTCCTAAAATACCATAATCATCTTTCTTAATACCTCCTATTCATCTTTTATTTGATTATGGTTAAAGGAATGTCCATAAGGGTAATTTAGAGAAAATTGATAAATATAAGAAATAGGTCTTATATTTAGGACCAAAATCAACTCAAAAATTGGGTCCTATCTTAAGGACCAGAGGAGTATCATTTTTAGCACAGTTATAAAGATGGCATCATCTAATGCTATCTGGTTAATCCCATCGTTATTATTCTAAATGTAATTTGACTTTAAGAAGAATCTAATCTCATACCATGGTTGCTTCCTTTTGGTATATTAGGGGAGTTGGGTCAAGCAGGCCAACCTAATATTCCTTTTTCTTTCTTCTAAGGAAGCTTATCCTGCCATTTTATTCATTCACCCTCCTCTGCATCATTCTTCCATTGACCATGTTCCTTCCAGAAGCTGAGATGCATAGCTGGTTGTTTGTTACATTCCTGGAGTCATGTCTCTCCTAACCATTTTTCCATGTTTCCATGCATTTCCAGTTATAGTGCCTTGCCTCCTTTTGACAATACTATGCTAGTGACTAAACTTAGGGCCTGTTTGGGATCACGTTTGGGGTCCCAAACGTGCATCTCAACCGGCAAAAGCTCTTTTTATGTTTTAGTATATGTTTGGGATCACTTCTGTGGAAATAAACCTTTTGGTCCCAACGAGCGGTACCATTGAAGCTATTTTACATTACTTTTAGAGAAAAAGTTCGTTCCTGCTGCAGAGAGAGAAGATGTACAAGAGAAAAAAAACATAAAAAGATAGAATTTCTTTGGAAAAAACCCCAATAATTTAATTAATTTAATTTATTATTTTTTAAAAAATTTATCAAATTGTATGTATATGATATATTACCTTGACTCTTTAAAATAAAATTTATGATTTCTCTAAAATACTTATATATTCTTAATCTTTTTAAATTAGTTAATTGAGTCTTGTATAAAAACTTATGTCCTTTTCAATCATTTTATATCTAAACTTTTTTTTTATTTATCTAAACAAATTTTAACTTTTCAAACTGACTTTTTAGAAATATTAATCCAAACATAATTTTATTTTTCTTACCTCTTTTAAAATAGTCACACTATATACATCTAATATTAGATATGTACTATTTAATAAAATCCATGTCCTTTTAAGTCATTTTGCATCCAAACTTATTTTTACATACATCATCCAAACAGGTTTCAACTTTTTAGACCAACTTTTTTACAAAGCCCAATCCAAACATAAATCACATTACACTATCTGATTTTTATTCAATCTGACTTCTGTAAAAGTCAGATTGAAAAAAAATTACTTCTACCACCGCTATCTCAAACACACCCTTAATGTTATAATATCCATTTGCTTTGGAAGTTCTCATGAGTGGGCAGTTACAAAAAAATTGGGAAGATCATTAGAGATAGATCTGGGTACTTTGAGAAGGAATCTGGGCCTCTAATGAGATCTACCAGCCTAAATTTAATGTCTATTGCACAAATAAAATGACTGTTTCAAATAGTGAGCAGGATCCTATGAGTGGAATACGAACTTCAATCCTCGCTTTCTCTGCCTTTTAACCTCAGTCAGAACTTCCACTAGGAGACAAGAAAACATCGATTTGGGAGGGAGGGAAGAAGCACAAGGACGATACAAGTACCATTCAAGGGGATATAATTGGAACGGAAGAGGATATGACAAGCAAAATGGCATTTTGATCATTTTCCCCTGTGATTTCATAATTCTAGTTTAGCCTTTTGTCTCTCACAGGTATTACTTTAATTGAGATTTCATAATTTTGGGGTCTCTAATTGTCCTTTTCCCAAAAATTAACTTGTGAGGGATAACTTTGATTTGTTTACAAGATTGGTCTTTCTTTGCAAGGGAGGGGAAATGCAACGTCTGTTATACCCTCCCTCCCCTCTTTTTTAATAAGAACTTGGAATTTGAATTCCAAAAAGTTTGTTTTTTAAATGTTTATTATTTTTAACTAATTTTAATTATTTTCTTAAATAATATAATTTGGTTAACAGATTTTTGTAAAAAGAACAAACGGAAATAGAAGGGACTAGTCTTTCACAATATGATAAATCAAAGTTCAAATCCTCACTGAAAGAGATGCTTACAATTGATGCCCAAGAGTCAGTTAAACAGAATTGCCTCTAATACAATGGTAGTTATACTTTGCCAAAAAAAAAAAAAGGCATAACAAATCTGAGCAAGAGATCATCACATCACATTAAGTAATATCAGCTACTATCCATTTGGTATGAGGGAATGGGAGGATAAAAAAATTTTAATGAGTTCGATTTAAAAAATTAGAGAAGCAAGGTTAAAAATTTTAAATGAATTTTGCCTATTCTCTTATCTTATATTTTTTCTTTATCAAAATTTTATAACACATCTCTCCTAATTTTTTAAATTAAGCTCATTAAAAACTCCCAAATTTCTTCATACCAAACGTCGGGTAAAGTATTATTCCCACAGAAGGCAAAATCAACGCCAACTGCCCAACTTGATGAAACTCGGCTGCCAGGAAGCTTTCTAAAGCATTATTGCAAGATTTGTGCTTTTTTGGACCTTACGTAATCTACAAATTAGGACAGATGAATAAGTCCAACACACCGACACATTATAAAAGGAGAGATTTTATTATGCTTACAAGATGTATCATGTTTTCCGTCAGTCAAAACCATTGATTTAATGTACATAACTAATACTATTACTCATATTCCTATCCACCTCATCAAAATTATGCAGAGATAATTAAGTTACTCCTCCAGTCCTTAATATAAGACTCATTTAACTAATTTAATTAGATTAAAAAAGTTAGGTAAGTTAATTAATTATAAGAAATGTGACACATTTTTCCTAAATCACCATAATCATCCTTTTTAATACCCCATCTTCCTCTTTTACTTGATTATGGTTGAGGAAGTATCCATAAGGATAATTTAGAGAAAACTAATAAATAGGAGAAACGGGTCTTATATTTAAAACAAAATCAATTCAACAATTGAATTCTATATTAAGGACAAAAGGAATATTAATTTTGTCTAGACATGAAAAAATCCAAATTTATCTATATTTCATATTATTAATTCATTCAATAACTTATAGAAATCGCAATTAAGGAGATATTAAATATAGGTAATTTTGAAAAAAAAAAAATAATACCCTCTTGGTGACGTATAATAAAGACAATCTATTCTCTCATTCATAAGCTTCAAATTTAAAGAAAAAAATGACTCATTTTATAAGTTTCAATTTAAATGTGTTTCAACATATAATAAGTTTTTCCCAATTCTACACTTAATTATTTATTCTCACTCTTTCGTCCCATTCTTTTTCATTTATTGTTTTTCTCATTTACCGTATTTATAAATAAGAGTATATTTGGAAAAAGAAACACATTTCTTATTTATTTATTTATTACTTTCGACTAATTTAACCAATTTTTTAATCAACACAGTTGGGTTAATCAACTCTTACGAAAACGTAATGAAACGTAATAGAAAGAGTATTAATTATGAAAATCCCATGCAAAGCAGTAGCTTTTTCCTTGATCTTTCTTTCCCCCTTACATTCAATGCCACAAGGATCGAATAATAGCCAGACTTTGAGGTGAAACATACATAAACACACAATCACGTTTCATCGACGATGAATCAAGAGAGGCGAGTAAGGATCATGCAACAAATACTTTATGTTGAAGAAAACCTTACGCAAGTAAGATTTTGAACATAGCGGGAGGAAAATTCTCAATGCAATCAAACTCAGTTCCTTCTTCTCATTATCCCATAAATAA